TCATCCTTCTCCCCCTCCTCCTCCTCCTCCTCCTCCTCCTCCTACTGCCCACCCTCCCGCCATCCCACTATACTATTTCATTATGTGCTCACCAAGGCGGAATCAGCGCGGCCGATCGATACCTCTTCGACCTGAACGGCTACATCGTGCTCCGCGGAGTGTTCAGCGAGGGCGCTGTGCGGGCCGCCAACGCCGCGGTGCACGGGGGAGCTCCCGAAAGGTTGGCTTCGTCCCCCCCCTCCCCAAGGCTTGAAGATACACCCCGGCCCCCATGTAGCTGGCCTTTGCTGGGCAGTTCTCTGCGTTTGCTCAGGCGCGGCCCCTCCCGGCACTCGGGCCAAGAAGCGCAGGCCGCCCCGAGCGAGCTGCACCCTCCCACCCGCCCTGCCCTCTGTCCTGCCCGCGCGTCCGTGCGCTGCGGGAGGCCGTCGGACGGCTCGAGGCGGAGGGGCAGCGTCGTCCTCCCCGTCGTCGGCGGTTCCCCCCCCTAGGAGGAGGAGGAGGAGGAGGAGGAGGAGGAGGAGGAGGAGGAGGAGGAGGAGGAGGAGGAGGAGGAGGAGGAGTCAGGATCAGAAGAAGGATCGAGATCAGGAGGAGGCGGCGGAGTCTAGCGGGGGTAGGCAGGCCGAGGACGAGACATATATGAATACGACGGGGTCCGAGATGTAGTAGGAGGAGGCGGCGGGAGGGAAGATAGGAGGAGGAGGAGGAGGCACGAGGAGGAGGAGGAGGAGGAGGAGGAGGAGGAGGAGGAGGCAGAGGACGAGAAATAATATGAATACGAAGGGGTCGAAGATGAGGAGGAGGAGGAGGAGAAGAAGAAGGAGGAGGAGGAGGAGGAGAGGATGAGCTCTTTTTTCTTGCGTCCCGGGCCGGCCCGAGGTGGACGCACACCTGGACTCGATGCACGAGCGCAATGGCAAGCTGCGCACGAGCGCGCTGTATGCGGGGAGCACGAGTCTGCACCTCCGCCCCGCCCTGCCCTCCTCGAGCCCGCTCCTCCTTCCTGCTCCTGCTTACCTCCTCTCTCAGCCCTTCCTCCTTCCCTTCGCGGGGACGAGCAGGAGGAGGAGGAGGAGGAGGAGGAGGAGGAGGAGGAGGAGGAGGAGGAGGAGGAGGAGGGGGAGGAGGAAGAGAATGAGGAGGAACTCCGACGAGGACGACAGGGAAAACGAACGTAGGGGGGTGTCGGGGAGGGGGAGAAGGGGAGAGCGACGACGACGACGTCGACGACGATAATAACGACGACAACGTCGACGACGACGACGACGACGACGACGACGACGGCGACGACGACGACGACGGAGGAGGGACGACGACGCCGACGACAGGGAAGACGACAGGCCGACTGGGTCCCAGGAAGTCCCGGCCCTCTCCCCAGGGCCTCGCCCGAGCCACAGGAGCGCCTGCCGAGCCCCCCCCCCCTGAGGCCGAAGGCGTCGAACAAGCCACGCTGTGATGTCTGCCAACTCACGGGGCGTTTGCCAACACATGGAGTAGGGGGGGAAGGAGAGGTAAAATACACCCATCGGGAATCTTATGAAAGCGCATCAGCTGTCATGCACCCCAGCTTTCGCTCTGGAGAAGCGAGAATCTGGGCTGGACCCTGGGCGTTTTCTTGGAGCTTCTCTTTGCGAAGAATGTTCTCGGATATCTGGACCTTGATTACTGTTTAAGATGACGCTTCCAGTAAAGTCCATTCTCTCAGCCTAGAGTTTCCTTAACTCTAAGCGAGAGTGTAGGATGGCTATTCATAAATGCCCGGGGGGGCCATCCCGCAGCAGCACCCGGGGCGATGATCAACGTATTGGGCTCTTGGCCTGCTCGTCGGCGTCGTCGTCATGGAGATTCATTGATCGTCCTCTCCATGGCTTCCCAGCGGCCGAGCACTATGTGTGCATGGTTCACCTCGAGTTTTTTTTTTTTTTTTTTTTTTTTTTTTTTTTTTTTTTTTTTTTTTTTTTTTTTCCCCCCCCCCCCCCAAAATGGCCGGCGGAAAAAACGGGTTCGGCTTCGCCGAAATTCTCGCGCAAGCTCCAGGCGTAAGGTCGCGCGTAGGTGCCACTTTGGGGTGCCGCGCCGGCGGCCCGTGCAAGCCGCCGCGTATACGGTCACTGTGCCACCTCGCGCAAGTCCCGCTTTTTTTTGATCGTCGCGCACGTCAGGTTCGTCTTATTGGCTGCCCCGCCGCTGGGCCCATTCCTGAATGCATGGACGCCTCCCGGCTCCAGGAGGCGCCAGGAACAGCAGTTATTTTTGCTGATTATCTGCCCTATACCCTGTGCGATCCTGCCCTTCGTCCCCCCTGGTCTTCATCTGGACTGGGCCCTGGGCGTCACCTTGGAGCTTTGCTTAATCGCATACCTGTCGTATCTCGGGACCTGGACTGCTGTTTAGAGATCGCTTGGAGTGAAGGCCATCTTCTCAGCTCGAAGCTGTAAGCAGGGGTGTATCCTACATGAGAGGATTCGGGTGCAACTCCTGGGATGTCGAATTCTGATTTTGCCCTGATGCGAAGTCCCGCTTAATCCAGCAGCTTAATTCCGCTTGCTCCGCGGCCTAATCCGGCGTAGTAGCCCCCCAATGGGGCTGAATTCTCCTGAATCATTCCGGCGAAGACCTCCCAGTAGTTGCCTCCTACGCTGGTGGCGTTGGTTAAGGAATGTGCCCAGGAGGTTTCAGCCCCTGGAGGATCCCTTCTCTGATGAGGGCGGCGGTGGTATCCATGGCCAGGCTTCGATTGGAGTTCCTCCGGCCTCCAGACCCTGGATCCCTTATCGAAGGGTTCCTTATCCACGGCCCCCACCGTACAGAGAGGGACGGGGGGTGCAGGTGCATCCCTTTCGCTCCCCGGCCGTGGGCGGCACTCCCCCGGGTTGGCGGGAGACGGCAGCACCGGGCGCTGCGACATGGGCGGCATGCTGGGCTGGGCCAGCCCGCACCGGGAGCCGTTCCGGGAGGCGCCCTCCTCCGCACCCTGTCCTTGGAGGATCGGGGACGGCGAATGAGGGGAGTGATGATTTGATTCGGCGGGGGTGGACAGCATGGCGTGGGCCATGATGTTTCCCCGGATCTCGTGGCGCCTC